GATCTCACGGTTCGAGAAGCACCTATAGAAAGGAATGGAATGCCCGCTGACAGGTAGACGAAAGCTTTCTCTCTCCTTCAGACGTTCCTTCCCTCTAGAGAAATAATTCTCGCCTGTTTCACCGTGGCGGTAAAACGTTCCCGTCGAAGATGGCCGGCAATCGCGTGGAACGGAGAATAGGAGCGGAAATTCTTTTCGAACTAGCGTGTTGCATAAGATAAGACGAAGGAGAGAACCTCGGGGTCGGGTTTCCTCGGGAAGGAATTGCCACGAACGACGGCAAAGACGAATGAGCCTTTTGAAGCAGAAAAATATGGCAGCCGGACCATCTGCGGATTTTTCCATCGATTTTCTCTCTTTCTCCTTCTCTCGATTGTACGAGGCCTGCCTTCACGTCAACGGGGGAATCGAAGTTTTCCTTATGATTCATGACGCGTCGTGACGATCGATCCCGCAATTTTTTTTTTTTTTCTCTTTTTTTTATTTCTTCCCGCGTCCCGCAGTTTTTCCGTTACAGAACATTTCCACTTCCACGTATCCCGTGTCTCACTGTCACTGGCATTGGAACAAAAGCGGTTACGGTTCCATCTACCGGCCAGTGTTCGGTTAACGGCCTTTTTTTGTCCCTCCTTTCTACGTTATTCCGCTCTATTCAACAGCGACACACCGCCTACCGAAAACAAGAGAGAGAGAGAGAAAAAAAGAAAGAAAGAAAGAAAGAAGAAAGAAAGAAAGCAGATCGAAATATTAATAATAAAAAAAGAGAAGGAAGATAAAATTCGTTTCTTTCGTTTTAGTCAGTTGAAACAGCGCGTGACCGACGCTTCGTCGCGGATCGATCCTCCTTCCTTGGAAAACAGGATGCTTTAAAATTCCCACAGACGTCCTTCCGGCTAATGAGCACCGTCGTGTTTTCGTAGCTATCCTCCGGCGACTGGTGAACTTTTGCCGAAAAAACGAAAAGAGAGAAGGAGGAGGAAAAAACCGGGTAGAATGAAAGGGGAACAAGGGGAACAAGGGGAACGGTCGGTACACCGTTGAATTCCGCCACGCGATTTTCAAACTACCTTTGAAAAACCTTGCCTATTTTTTCCTCCCCACCCCTATCTTTATCCCGCGTCTTTCGACCGCAAGTTTCTCGTTATCTCGCTCGCTGTTTAGAAAATCCGTGATGTAGTTGTATTAGAAACAGCGTTGTTACGGGAAAAAACGATACGTTCCTCTCTAACCTCGAATTATCCTCTTTTTTAAGCTTTAAACTTTTCGCGGAGAAGTTGGAGCGCTTCGTCCAATCCCCTCGAGAAAGTTGGATTGCTCGATACATTATTGAGCTCGCTTCGATTCATGATTTCTTTGGAACAAGTTGTGGCCGACCACCACTGCTTTCTCCCTTCTCCCTTCTCCGTCCCTTCTCGCTGGGAGCGTTAGACGAGAGTTTTGCCCGTGGCGTGCGTTGCGGGACGTTTCCATTACCCGCTCTGGAAACCGTTCCTCTATATGGGTAAGGATAAGTTGCGCGGCCGATACGTTATTCGTCCGGCCGATAAATTATTCGTGCGAGAAAAAGGAGAGTGAGACTCGATATTAGTTAAGCCTCGAGATAAATTTTTTTCCTCAACACAAGTTTTCATCGAAAGTTTTCCCTCGATATTAAGGATATAAGATTTTACCGATTTATTCGATTCTAACCGCCGCGTAGCGAGAGAGAAAACGGATCTTTTCAATTTTCTGAAAGTATGGATAGGTATCCGGCTGGATAGAAAAGTTTTTCCACGGAAAAATTGGAATATTGTCTTTCCAAGTCTTGCGACTCGAAAATGTAACGAGAGAGGAAAAACTTTTGGAAATGGAAAGGAGAGGAGATTAAAGAGGTAGAGAGAGAAAGAAAATGATGAAACGCGAGGCTACCCGGTCATTCAGAGTCGAGGAAAGGAATAAAGGAGATTGTTTGAGTGTCTTTCCCATTGAATCCGTTAATGACGAAATACGAGCATTGTCGCCTCCTGTCGTGAAATTTCGATGCTCGTATTTCACGCATAACGACGCGAATCTTCTCTCGCAATCTCCTCTCAAGCGTCTCGATCCTTCTTCTCGTGGAACAGAGAGAATCGCTTCCCTGCAATATTTTATTCTCGTTGAAAATATGAAAAGAGAGGGACCGCCAGAGTGTTTGACGCGCGCGGCTTATTTCGTTCTAACCGATTCCTTCTTTCTCTCTCCTCCCCCCTTTTCTTTCGAGTCTCCGAGGTAATTACAGATAAGAGGCTTAAACGAGAATTCTCCACGACCGAATATCGACTGTGAGAGTGTATTGGGCGAAAAAGAAGAGGGAAAGAGAAAGAGAGAGAAAGAGAGAGAGAGAGAGAGGAGGCCTCGTGTCCGGTAACGGCACGATCTCTTGTTCGGGTCGCGGGCAAAACGATATCTTTTCACGAAGACAGGGACGCTCTAAAGGCTCGTATGTATCGATCGCCAATGAGCTAATGGGTAATCATCGATAAGAGGCTTAACCGTGGATATTCAGAATTAAGCGTCTATTTCAGGGAATAATGCGTCTCTCGATTATTCGTGTTTCGACGAAACGATCCAAATGCGATACGTTTAGAGAGACGTTAGAGATTAAATCGTCTAATAATTTGGTAGGCGAAGATATTTGCGGCTGGCAAAATACTCTATCGGTATTCACTATACATTATTCTATTTCGTGAATGCTCCCTTTAAACAATCACGCTTGATACAAAACTGATTAAATACATACCGGAATATCCGAATATTTGACCGTTGCAACGTAACAACGTTCGATCCTAACCTAGTTTATTTCTCTATCCCTCTCTCTCAAATTAACGCACGCGTTTTCGTCTTTCTTCAGCGCGAACTGATCACTGTTTTGAAGAAGTACAACTCATCGAACTCGCAACTCATCGATTAACAACGACTAGTTTTATTTGACGGAATCATATCATCGGGGGGGCAAAAGAAAGAAAAAAATTCGCAGTGCAGCGAATTGGGAAGGTTGGCGATTCCGTTTAACGCGGGGAATGAATTTTTGCGAGGAGAGAGAATTTTAGCGTGGAAAGCGAAGGCACGAGGTGTGGGCATGAGAGCGCAAGCTCGACGGCCGTTCGATAAGCGCATAACCGTGCGGTTAAGTATCTGGTTTCCAACGATGCGAAAAGTTTCGAGCGTAAACGAAGAGATAGAGAGTCGTTAGTCTGCAAATATATATATAGAAGGAATACGAAGAGATAACGAAAGTAGGGAGGAGGGTTTAAGGGTTTGACGATTGAATCGGGTAGGCCGATAGAGGAGAGCCGTGGAGTGGAAGGGTAAGGATAAGACAAAATTAATTTCTCCATAATCGGCGATTAGACGTCGTTGAAGCGCGGGTGGGGGGGGAGGTTCCTTGTCAAAATCTAGAGTAAAGCCTAATCGGATTAACGTTCGCCGACTCGACGCTTCTCTCTCGACCAACTCTCGTTCCTTCCAAGTTTCTCTCTCTCTCTCTCTCTCTCTCTCTCTCTCTCTCTCTCTCTCTC